ACACGCCACCACCACCACCACCGCACGCACACCTGCTGTTCGCCTGATTCGATGGTGGCGTTGAGCGAAGCGATGTTGGCGTTGGCAGCAGCAACGGTGGACTCCAAGGTCTCTTTCTCCTGCAGACGGGGCAGTTGTTGGGTTCAGCTGGGGACGGTGAAAGGCGAGGGACACGATGACACGCACACCCACACCACACACACACACACACACACACACATACGTACATACATACACGCACACAAAGAAACAAAACACAACAAAACACACCACAACACACCACAACACACCACAACACACCGCAACACAACACACCACAACACAACCTTGTTGAGGGCATCCAGCTGCTGTTGAAGGCGTTTGCGCTGCTCGTCACTCGACCTCAGGTCTACAAGCTCGCGCTCTTTCGCTGCAATCGTCGTCTCGGCAGTGCGCAGCGACGCGTGCGCATCTGCCAACGCCTGGGCGGCAGTCTGCTTCTCCTCCCGCTGATGGTGCAAGCGCACAGATGGTGCGTGACGTCTTGCAGTTGGCATTGTGGTGCATGGCCACACAGGAACAAGCAGACACAAAATCACACACACAAACTCATACCCACCAACACACACACACACACACGCACCTCTGCCTTGGTTGCATCCTTGGCGGATTGCAGCTGCGTGTGCAGTTCGTTGACGCGTGCGGCGTACGATGCCATTTGCGTTTTGCTCGCCTCCAATTCGCTTTCGGCCTGTTCTGCGCGACTCAGGGCGGCTTTTAGCCTGTCCTTTTGTTCCTGCCTTGAAAGGAGGAGTGCTCGTTCTCGCTCCTTCCGCTCCTCGCTCTGCTGCTGCGCCTGCGCTTCCGTTGATGACGTCTGCAGCTTCTGCTCCTCCTTGATCGCGTTTAGTTCCGCGCCAGCCATGTCACGTGCACGCGCTGCCGTTTCTAGTTCGGCCTGCAGCTGCTCCGTCTTCTTCGTTGCTTGCAGGCACTGTTCTTTGGTGCTTGCAAGCTCTTCCTCCAACGCCTGCCGCGCCTGTTCCGTACTCTCCACTTGCTGCTGCATGCGCTGGACCTCTTGTTCGTGCTCGCGCTGCCTCGTGTTCTCCTCCTCCGCCTTCCTCTGTGCAGCGGCCTGCTGCTGCTCTTCGAGCTTCGCCCTCGTGTCTGCCACCAGTGCCTCCTCCTTCTCGTTTGCAGCCGCCACCTGCTGCTGCAGCGCTTCGATTGCGTCACACAGGGCCTTCCGCTCCGCCGCCCATTCGCTCTTCATCGTATCCACGGCTGCAGCTGTGTCGTGATGGTGATCACCATCAACATCGCGCACCTGTTGGGATGCTGTCTCACCCTCACACTCGTCCTCGTACTGAGCAGCGCTGCCTTCGACGCCATCATCGCCAGTGTCATCGCTCTCCGTCTTCTCCTTCCCCTGGTTCTTGTCAGCTTGATGAGCGCTTTGCTGCTGCTGTTCGTACGCGTGCACGCGGGACTGCAGGTCTTTGTTCGCCGCCACCGCCGCATTTAGACTCATCTGCATCTGCGCCACTTCCCCATGCAGTGCTTCCATCTCCTTCCTCAGTGCTTCCATCTCTGCTGTCGCTGCGGCTTTCCTCCCTTTCTCCTCTGCCCTCGTCTTCCTCTTCTGCTGCTGCTGCTTCTCTGCTTGCTGCTGTTCCAGGAGAGCACTGCACTCTTCCTCCTTCGCCTTCAGCGCTGCCTCAAGTGACGCAACCGTCTCCTTCAGTCTAGGCACCCCGTCATCACCAACACCACCACCATCACCATCACCATCTTGACCACCATCGTTAACGTCCATTCCATCGCCGTCGCCACCGCCACGGTGATCCTCACGGGTGATCTCCAACTCCTTCAGTTTCGACTGCAGCTCTGCTGTTTCTTGCGTGCGTGCATCCAGTTCTTGCGTCAAAGCCTCTGTGTCTGCCGCCTGCGCCTGCAGCTGCTGGATGCTGGACTCGAGTTCCTGCTGATTGCGCAATAGCTCGTCCACACGTGCTCGGCTATCCTCCAACTCCTTCCTTGCCGCATCGCGTTCGTCCGCAATAAACTGCAACTCAGCCTGTGCAGCACACAGGCAAAAACAAAACCAAAACAAAATGAACCCGATTGACGTCATCAGTGAGATGCACACTTCAGCACATGGCATCGTGGCCGGCACGTACAAGTCATTGATTCAAAGGAAGGGTCACACAGACCATATGATCGAGGAGCGGCAGGCAAAGCAAACACGATGGGCCAATCAATATACACTCGGGGACACACACACACACACACACACACACACACACACACACACACACACACACACAATGCACGCACGCATAACCAGCCAACCGACCAAGCAAACACACAGACAAACACAACCAACACACCGTGCGCGCTGTCAGCTGTTGCTCCATGACATGCAGTTGTTCGTACAACTCATCAGTATCCACAGCACTGCCGCCGGCCGTCTGCTTCTGCTTCTTCGCGGCCGTCTCGATTTGCGATTTGAGCTGCAGGTTTTCTCGCCGCAGATACCGCAACTCCTGGTATGCAGAAGGGATGGTGGTGGATGGCGTGGGTGTCAAGAGCAAGAAGTTGGGGGGGGAGTGTCGAATTGCGCCGATGGCAGTTGTGGCGTAATGCAGAATGGTGACAAAGCAAAACGGCGGCACACAAGCAAGCCGCACACATGTAACGTGCATGCAAAGGCAAAAAAGCGCACATACACACACACACACATCTAGAGCGACAATGCATGACACCTTTGTGTCGCTCTGTGCTTGTGCTGTTGTGCGCTGCAGCCGTTCAAGCTCTGTCTGCACGCGCGTGAGTTCCTTCTGCAGTTCGCGGTTGTGATACGTCTCCTCTTGCAGTTTCGTGCGCGCTTCAAGCAGCTCTGCACTCACATCTCCACCAGCCTGCATACACAGCACGCACTCAAACACATGAGCAAATGCGCACATGGATCACAAGAGGCGCGCTCGCTCGCGTTCATGTTTGGAACGCGACGTGCTGTGCACGTCTTGCTTGGCGATGCGTGGCGTGCAGATGCGTGACGCGTGTACTCACTGGGGTGGGGACAGCGCAGGACGAGGCTGAGTCAAGGTCAATGAGCGGCGTATCTGACAACCTGCCATGGTCTTGCACACCCCTCTTGACGGTTGCAGGTGTTCCGCGTGATGTGGCGGACGATGCTGTGCCTGCGCGAGAGCGGGCGGCCTCTGCTTCTTCGTCAGAAGCATGGGCGACAAGGTAGTGATTCTGCAGGTCTTCAATGCTGTCAAAGTATTGCCCTTGGCACATTGTGCACTGGAACGTCTGCTTGTCGCTCAATGCCTGTGCAAGCGTGATATGTGTGCACGTATGGGTGTGTGTGTGTGTTGTGTTGTGTTAGTGTGCGTGTGTGTCAGTATGGCATGTGTGTTTGTGTGCGTGAACATGTGTGTGAACATGTGTGAAAATGTGTGCGTGTGTGTATGTACGTGAGTGTACATGGGAACATTCGGAGCGTGCATTCGCTGTGAGTGAGTGCTGGAAGAACGAGCACAGTTGGCGGTGATATTGATGCAGATCACTTCATGGCAGCATGATGCGTGCACGTTTCATGCAGCGGCAAAAAAAAAAAAACACACACACACCCGCTGTCGACCAGGATCATCTTCATCCTCAGCTCGCGTGCCAGAGAGCTCGTTGAGCTTCTTTCGCCACCAACTCATTGCGGTGGCACGGCAGATGTGGCGGGTCCAAGCAACGACAACGACGACGACGACGACGACGACGACAACAACAACAACAACAACGACGACAACAACGACGAAACCTTGTCAGCTGCTGCTCTGTCTGTGTGGTTTGTTGTGTGGTTTGTTTGGTTTGGCTTTCCGTCAAAGTTGGGAGGAATGGTTGGTGTCATTGCCAATTTTCGAAGATTCGCGGACCATGCTGAGGCGGTGCTGTTGCAGCTTGCGCTTTGTTTGGACCAACGACAGACCTGACCTTGCACCGCTGCTGCGCACGTTGACAAGAAGCAACAGGAGCATGTCTTCCCAAAGCGGTGAAGCAGGCCCCAAGCCACCAGTGGCTGAGGGTAATGCAGAGGAGGTGGCAGAGCCTCGGGTTGACGTTGCATCCAACCTCGAGGCAGTGCGCGCCCGCGTTGCAGCAGCAGCCAAGGTGCTTGGTGGAAGTGCGCGCGCGTGTGTGTGTGTGCGTGCATTTGTTCCTCTGTGTGTGTGTGTGTGTGTGTGTGTGTGTGTGTGTGTGTGTGTATGTGTGTGTGTGTGTGTGCGTTTTCTTGCGTGCATTTGTTCCTGTGTATGTGTGTGTGTGTGCGTGAGCATATGTTTTATGCACTTGTGGTTGCGTGTGCATGTGCGTGAGCAAATGTATGTACCCGTGTACATGTGGGTGTGTATGTTTGACAGAAGAGCGGCATGCCACAGCCTCGGCTGGTGGCCGTGAGCAAGACCAAGCCTCTGCAGCTGGTTCTGGACGCCTACGAGGCAGGACAGCGCGTTTTTGGCGAGAACTACGTATGTACGACATGCAGTCGCACTTTCACGTTTGGAACTTTGCCATGCGGGTTCATGGCATGCGTGTTCGTCCACATCAAATGTTTGTGAAGACACGGTGTGCGCGTACGTGCGTGCTTGATGTGTGTGTGTGTGTGTGTGTGCGTGTGTGTGTGTGTGTGTGTGGATGGAAGTTCGCGGCTGGGTGCACCTCTCTGATGCTTCTGTACTGTTTTTTTCCCATTTCAGGTACAAGAGCTGGTTGAGAAGAGCAACGATCCGAGGGTGAGTAGAAACATGCACGGTTTGCGATGACTGGTGCGCGAGTGACATTATCGCCTGCGCTTACACGCCATACTGTATTGTGCCGTGGTGTACTGTTGCGTGATGTGTTACATCTGGTTTGAGCGCGGGTATTCGCAGCCATCTCAACAGCCACGTTCGTGTTCTTGCAGGTTCCTGAGGACATTGAGTGGCACTTTATTGGGCGCCTGCAGTCGAACAAATCCAACACCCTTGCACGTGAGTATCTCGATGTGCATGAATGCGTGTGTGTGTGTGCGTGCGTGCGTGTGTGTGTGTGTGTGCGTGTGTGTGTGTTTGTGTGGTTTCTTGTGGTTTCTTGTGGTTTCTTGTGGTAGTGATTGGTTTCTCACTGTCGTTGGTCGCTGGTGCAGGCGTGAAAAACTTGAAAGTGGTGGAAACGGTGGCAAGTGAGAAGCTTGCGCGCACACTCAACAGAGTACGTCGCGTGTGCGTGCTGTTAGACTGAAGCTGCTGTTAGAGTGAAGTTGCTGTGAGAGTGAAGTTGTTGTGAGTGCGGACGTGTTGTGAATGCGTTTCGTGTGCGTGCAAGGTCTGTGCGCAATGGTAAACTTGCGCGGTTTATCATGTGCTTGGGATTTGTTTTTGCACACTCACACACATAAGCTCACGCAGCAATTGAAATTGCACTCCACTCCTTCAGGCGTTTGCCGAGCACGATGCGCCACTGCGCGTGTTCATGCAAGTCAACACAAGCGGCGAAGAAAGTGAGCTTGCTTGTTTGTTTGTTCGTTTGTGTGTGTGTGTGTGTTTGTTTGTTTGTTTGTTTGTTGGTTGGTTTGTTTGTTGGTTTGTGTGTTGGTTTGTGTATGTGTGTGTGTGCTTACACAGTACCTTCGTCTCACATCCTCCCTCCCCCCTTTCCTCCCCCAAGACAAAGGTGGCGTTGAGCCGAGCGACTGCGCCGCCCTCGCTGCATTCATCGCCAACGAATGCGACCACCTCCAGTCAGTTGTCCATGTGTGTGTGTGTGTGTGTGTGTGTGTGTGTGTGTGTGTGTGTGTGTGTGTGTGTGTGTTCTTTTCGTTGCCCGCCTTTGCTCTTGCTACACGCGCAGGGCCCGACACACCACCACCACGTTCACACCACCACCACCATCGCCACCGCTGCTGCAGATTGGCGGGACTGATGACCATCGGAATGCTTAATCGCTCCCTCAAGACAGACGACACAAACGAAGACTTTGAGGTGCGTGTGAATATGTATGTGTGTGTTTCTCTAAGTGCGTGCATATGTGCATGTGTATGTGTATGCGTATGCGTGTGTGCGTAATTGCGACAATGGATGACTCGCTCATGTTGACGCAAATCGCTTGCGCGCGCATGCCTCGTGCAACCACACGGCCACTCACGCGCGTGTCTGTGCATGCGCAGACGTTGGTGTCGTGCCGTGGCCGCGTTGCCGAGGCGATTGGGGTCGATGCAGACGCCCTGGAACTCAGCATGGGCATGTCCTCAGACTTTGAACACGCGGTGCGCAACAACGAGTCGATGTGCATGTGTACATGTGTGTGGCTCTGTGCGCGTGTCTGTGTGTGTGTCTGTGTGTATGTGTGTTGTTGTTGATACGCTTTTCTTTGTGTGGTTGGCAGCACCTTGTGCTCATGCGTGGTGTTCGTGCGTTGTGTTCCTGTGCGTTTACTGCGCTCACTCCTGGTCACGTGTGTTCTTGCTTGCATGCATGTGTGCTGCCGGTCTCAGATTGAAATGGGCAGCACGAATGTGCGGGTTGGCTCGACCATCTTTGGAGCCCGCCATTACCCACCGAAGAGCACCTAACACGCCACGTGCGTCGTGGGGGGGGGGGAGGAGACACGACAATGAAGCCAGCGCTCGCCTCCTTCGCGAGAGAGAGGGAGGGAGGGAGAGTGGGGGAGTGGGAGAGAGGGAGGGAGGGAGAGTGGGGGAGTGGGAGAGAGGGAGAGTGGGAAACACACACAGACACACAGACACAGACACAGACACACAGACACACACACACACACAGACACAGACACACACACACACAGACACACAGACACACACGCAGACACACACACAGACACACACACACAGACACACACACAGACACACACACACACACACAGACACACACATCGTACTATAAATAGGCCATGCCTGTCCTAGATAAAACCCAAACACGCCAAGCAGGCAAGACAGCGAGCACAACAACAAGATGGCGGATGAGAGCGAGCAGCAACAGAGGCCACATGTGGCTGCGAGGCCAAAGCCACGTCCTCGTCGCAGACGTGCGTTTAAGCCAATGCCGGAGGAGACAGAGCAAGCACAACAGACCGACACCACGCAGCAGGCTGATAGTGGGAACACTGCTGTTGTTGGCGATGCCACCACCACCGTTTCAGATCTAGAACAACCGGAAAAGCAGAAGCAAGAGCATGAACCAGAAGAACCAGCAGCAGCAGAGCAAAACACGCGTGCGCAGGTTCAGCACGCCGACAGCGAGCCAGGGCCAGGTCATGCTCATGCGAAGGAGGGCGACTCTCATGGTGATGGACCAGAGGATCGCGAGATGAGCGATCAAGATGAGCAAGCAGAAGCAGATGGGGATGTTGAGGAATCGCAAGCGGAGGCGGCACACGTGAGCGCACCACCAGGCAACCAACCTGACGAGCCGCGGCCGATCCCTCCACCGCGCCGCAGACGACAGGACCGCACCTCCACCGCAGAAGCCAAGACCGAATCCGGGGCTATGCAACAGCCAGCTAGCGATGGGACAGCACAGACAACTGCCACGCGACCAAAGCCCACCCCAAGGCCTCGAAACCGCAACAAGCTGCAGGGCCAAAGTAGCACGGGTTCGGAGGCCACCGCGGTGCCAGAGAGCCCAGAAGGGGCGCAACCTGTTGGCGGCCTCACTCGCGGTGATGATGTCGAGGGAAGAGCTGCAGGAGCAACACCCCCGATGCAACCACGTCGACCTCCACCTCCGCAACCTTCATCATCCCCCGCCACAAAGGTGTATGAGTCAGTGTGACTGTGCACCTATGTATGAGTCAGCCTACGTTTGCATGTGTGTGTGTGTGTGTGTGTGTGTGTCCGTGTTCATGTGTTTCGATGATGAGGCTCATTTGTTTGCCGCGTTCCCTCAGTTATCATCCCCTTGTCGTTCGTCTCACCGTGTCACCTCCCCACCCCAATTGGTATTGACGCCGCCACACAGCAGCGGCTGTCGTTTGCGATCAACCGGCCGCAGCAGGACGCGGATGAGCTGATGCAGCAGCAGGCGGACGAAGACAGCAGTGACGACGAAGACGACATGGACGCCGACGCCGCGCTTGAGGAGGAAGTTGACGAGGCCACAAAGAAGGTTGTCGCGCCGTGTGTGGATATGTGCGTGTTTCCGTGTGCGTGTTTGTGTGTGAGTGTTTGCGTCACGCTGCGTCATGTATGCGGCACAACCGCTCAACTCCGCTGCAGCGTTGTACCTGTTGCTGACGAATGTGCATGTGTGTGCACATGTGTGTGTGTGTGTGTGCGCGCGCGCAGGAGCGAAAGCGGTACAAGTGTGTTGCTGAAATGCTGAGCACCGAGGAATCGTGAGTCGTACGCTTGCAACAATCGTGTCTCTGCGACGACTTTATGCTGTTGCGTTTGCGGCAGTGCTGGCAGTGGTGGTGGTTGGCGGTGGTTGGCGGTGGTGATTCATGCATGCAATGACTGCCCGCCCAAACGTTTGATTCACATCACCCCGTACCTGCGTGTGTTGCGCCAATCTCTCACACAGATATGTTGGGAGTCTGAGCATCATGAAGGATGTACGTCGCATGCATGTGTGTATGTGTGTATGTATTGTGTGTACCTGCGAGTACGTGTGCGTTGGTATTTCACGTGCAGTGCGCCTCACATGCCGTGCAATGCCACCGCCACCACCACCATGCCTGCTGCGCATCAGCTGTTCCTTGCGCGGCTGCGGGCGGCTGGCATCCCAAAACACATCCTGGCCGAAGTGTTTTCGAACGTGGAGACGTTGTATGACCTCCACTCGCGTCTCCTCAACAAAATCACCCGCCGCGTCAGGAAATGGTGGGCACAGTGCTGTTTCTTTGGGATGGTTGTTGTTGTTGTTTCAGTTGTTGTTGTTGTTGTTGTTGTTGTTGTTGTTGTTGTTGTTGTTGTTGTTGTTGTTGTTGTTGTTGTTGTTGTTGTTGTTGTTGTTGTTGTTGTTGTTGTTGTTGTTGTTGTTGTTGTTGTGGTTGTTTAAGTCGTTGTTGTTGTTGTTGTTGTTGTTGTTGTGGTTGTTTAAGTCGTCGTTGTTGTTGTTGTTGTTGTTGTGGTTGTTTAAGTCGTTGTTGTTGTTGTTGTTGTTGTTGTTGTTGTTGTTGTTTCAGTTGTTGTTGTTGTTTCAGTTGTTGTTGTTGTTTCAGTTGTTGTTGTTGTTTCAATTGTTGTTGTTGTTTCAGTTGTTGTTGGTGCTGGTGGTGCTGGTGGCGATAACTGCTGGCGGTGGTGGTGGTGCTGTTACCGTCGTCATCAGTGTGGACTGTTTCTGCTGCGTCGTTCTCACCATCTACTGCCTTGTTCTCTCTTGTCAGGCGCGATGATGGTGGCGATCATATTGGTGACATCTTTCAGACCTTCGCTCCAAGATTTAAGGTGAGTGCGCATATGGGGAAGGGGGTCTTACAGTTTGATGTTTGTTTTTTTCAGCGCATGTACGTGTTATCCTCCACGAATGCACGCACGCACACACACACATGCACGTACTCATAAACCATACACACACGCGCACACACACTCACACCTCCGCACACACATGCACACACGCACACACATAAAACACACACGCAAACGTAGGCGTACACGGAGTACAGCATCAACTTTGAAAAGTCGAATGCACGGCTTGAGGAGCGACTGAAGAAGAGCAAACAGTTTGCGGACGTTGTGGGCGTGTGCGAGCGCGATGAGACGTGTGGTTTTCTCAAATTGGACGCGTTTTTGCTCGAACCCATCCAGCGGCTGCCCCGCTTCCGGCTCCTCCTCACAGGTGTTGCGTGTGTACTCTGTGTGTGTGTGTGCGTGTGTACTCTGTGTGTGTGTGCGCGCGCGCGCGCGTGTGTGTGTGTGTGTGTGTGTGTGTGTGTGTGTGTGTGTAGAGTGAGTGTTTACGACTTCTCCAGTATGTTCTCAGGACGCTGTTACGTGATGCTTGCTCACATGTTCGCTCATCGTGTGTGTGTGTATGTGTTTCCAGAATATCTGAAGTTCACACCTGAAGAGCACCCGGATTATGCAATTGCCAAAGGTAAGCAGCAGTCGCAAGAGTGACGATGATGATGATGATGATGATGATGATGATGATGATGATGATGATGATGATGATGATGATGATGATGATGATGATGATGATGATGATGATGATAATGTCAGCTTCATCTCATGCTCGGCACACGTCATTGTCCCCGTTTCACCCACACCACGAATGCGATGCACGCGTGCACACAGATGCGTTGCAACAGATTATGGCTGTGACATCAGAGGTGAACGAGAGCATTCGGCAGAAGGAAAACTCACAGAAGATGATGGAACTTCAGAACAAACTTGAAGGCGTCAGAATCTTCAAGAAGGACAGGGTTGGTTGGCGCACCTGTGTGTGTGTGTGTGTGTGTGTGTGTGTGTGTGTGTGTGTGTGTGTGCTTGTGTGTGTGTGTGTACCTGTCTGTTTCGTCCTCTGTAAACGCTCACCGGTGTCTTGCGTCGATGCAACCCTGTCATGACCCATCGTGACCCAATCAGAGATTCCTGCTGGAGGGCTCTCTGCAGAAGATGTGCCGTCGCGGTCCTCAACCGAGAGTTGTTCTCCTGGTGCGGCCGTGTATCCGTGTGTGTGTGTGTGTGTGTGTGTGTGTGTGTGTGTGTGTGTGTGTGTGT